ATTAGAGCCATATAAATCAACATGTTCAAGATGTCAAGAAACCACGATAATTTTCGAAATTGTGGATCAGAACTACTCTATTATTACTTGTCGCTTCCTGAACCAACTTCATTGCCTAAAAGTGGTATTTTCCATATAACACATCAACAACATCTGAAATAATGCAGGGATCTTTTATAGCAAACATTGATTACACCAAACTCCACACCTTTTCTCAACCTTGTTTTCTCAAAAAAACAGACCTTTGTGAAAAAGTTGACGTACGGCGCCTTTTGTGTGAATTTTTTTCTGAATGCTATATTGGCTACCCCGTTTCATAGGGCATTAGTCAGTCAAACTTACCTTACAATGATCGCAGTAATCTTTTGAAATTAGTTTCAACGGTGAGAGAAAACAAAAATGTTTGGGACATTAATTTTGTTATAATGCTATCGTGGGGGTCACTTCGTTTAGCACAAAAAGCCGAATGTAACACGCTTGTGCGTCAGGTATGAGCTAAAACTTTTTTCCAAAATTATCTAGTTCGGATCCTCTCATTAAGTTTGAACGTACTTGTAGTTCAATGAAGACAAATCTTTAAGCGGCGCAATCTCCAGCATACCAACAACGTTCTGTTATTGCAGAGATAGAGACTTATGCAATCGTGGAGAGAAGCCGATGAGTTCAAAGTTTGGTATTTCAAATTTTTGTCTCTGAACCGCATTCAAAATCAGGTTCAACCGTTCGCGCACCAAGCACTTAGATTTCTCACTGCTTTTGTAGACGCGTAAATTTGCTATGTTCGTTTGCCTGACTTGTTTATTTCGCTAGTCTCGACATTGTACCCTGGAGCGCAATTGGAAAGTACAGGTCTTTTAAATTCCTTCATTTTGAGATTGGACGAGGACCCGGAGCTCGCTAATGCTGCACGATCATTGTATGAGCCGAATGATGATATTACATAGGTTACAAGTTTTGTTGCTTCTGACCGACAAACGACCTACTTGGGAAGGATCCTTGGTCGAAGTGGTCTTTCCGGTTGAGATGCTTACAGTCTTGAACAGCACTAAACGATCATTTCAAAGCTGCCTTCTCTGCCTGCGGAGCGCCTCTGAGTGAGGATTCATGAGCGTTTTGTGAGTCAAAAAGGGAAACTCGATCAAACTAAAATTAATGGTGACAACCTTGCCCAACTCGCAGATGGGATAATGGCGTGCATTCAGGTAGCAAGCAGGAGATTTCTTTCTTCGTGGAATTGTTCAACAGTCGTGTTCCATCTGTGTTCTCTTTTGATTATGCGATCCATAATTTCGCTACAAAAGCTCTCATATTTCCCGGTACAAAGGCGTTCCGCAGATAAGAAAGACAAATTTAAAATTAGCGTCTGGTGTCCTTCAAGATGATATGCGCATCTTCTGGAAAAGCCACTTCGACTAAGGATCCTTCCCCACTAGGTATCATACAGATTTCTATGCTCTTTTGATGTCCACATTCTCACTTTGTTTTATGCAGTCTTTGTGATGTTATCGTCATGGCCATCAGAGCGGTTCAACAGTGATGCCGAACTTTCCCTAATTTTTTTAAAGATATTTTGATATTTCAGAAGAGCGCTGGAAGTTGTTATGCAGAGTCAACCTTTAGTACATTATATTTATTTTGATTCCATAGGTTAAGTTTTCGAAGTCTGTAATGATTATTCATTTGGGACAAGCCCCTCTTCTTGAGCACGTTTAACGCATACATAGGAGCACAAAAAATTCCAAAACCTTATCTCTTATTCTTCAAAAGACTCAAACTTGATCATTTTGCTCAGGTGATGTTCGAAAACAATCAAGCTTTAGATCGCGGATACTTCAAAAGGTTGTCTGTTTCTGCTCCAGTTATGTGTTTCATGATTTGACATAAAATCGAGATTTGCGACGATATAGTTTTTTCAAGGTTCGAGCATGAGCGGAAAATTCTAAAGCACTTTATAAAGTCTGATATCTGCTCTATTTGTACCATACCTACCCTTTCCGACGCTCTGGAATGAAATTTTTGAAAATCAACTGAACATGAAGAAAGTAAAGCAAAGGTTTTTGGTTACCATCAAAAGCAATCAAAGGATTATCATCCAAAAGTGTAATCCGGAATAAGAAGGGAAAGCTGCATCAGAAACAAATTCAACATGGTGCGACAAATACGAGAAAAGAAATATGATCCGGCTTGTTGGGTTCACATCAGTTGCTGGAATGTGCGGGTGCTGCGTGGACTTCAGAAGGTGGAAAATTTTCTAATAAGATCGTCGTCTTTTGCTCGAACAAACGTACGAAGTTCTAGATTACGGTGCTTGACTGTCCAACTTAACCCGCGGCCAACCAAGTTGGACACCTTAAAGGCAGCGTCCAGGCAGATCTGGACCCATGGGGCTTTTACGTGGAAAGTACTTTTGGGGCCCTAACTAAGGCACTGCCCAAGCGCCAGCTCATGCAGTGCTCTAATGGCTGAGATATTCCTCTCGAAAGTGGCCCCCGCGAACGTATTCGCATGGATTCATGGAAGTTTCGCGCCAGAATCCACGCTTTGCGCCATGAATACATGCGAAACACGGTCGCGGTTACATTTCGAGGGGAATATCTCAGCCGTTAGGGCACTACCTGAGCTGCCGGTTGGGCAGTGGCTTAGTTAGGGCCCCAAAAGTACTTTCCACATGAAATCCCCATAAGTCCAGACTTGCCTGGACGCTACCTTTAAGGAGGCTCATTGAGCTCTCACTTTTCTCGGACGCTGTTTCAAGCAAAATACATGGAAACTCTTCAAAAGAATGCTGAGATTAGAATGTTTTGTTCTTCAGTTATCTTCCCAAACCTTTTCCCATGATATGCGCATCAGTCCTCCATTGGTGATCATCATTCGGAACAGACGATTGCACTCTTAGTTTCCCCCAATACGTCTGTTTAGGGTAACCGGTCCTTCCTTGATCAAGGTGCAGCAGTACTCAAAGGTTTGGCAAGCCTTCTTGGATAATTTTCCAGGAAATACATAGGTACATCTTTTTGATAAAGGTGTTGATATAGCTTGTGTTTTTGAGAGCATTATATTCAAGCCACTAATTCAACTTCTTTGTCATTTTGCGCCATATTTAGCTTTCACTTATTGTATTGCTCTTCTTTAAACCGTTTGCTTTTTTCACTTATCATATTGCTCCATTTCCAAATGCTAACTTTTTGACACAGTGCTTCTGGTGACTTCTTTAATGTACACAGCGTTAATCAGGTATCAATCCATATTATTATCTTATACAACCCAATGTCGTTCACCAGCGAATGCCTTTGAGTAGTTTCAATAAGACCTTTGCAGTTCGTTCCAGCATTCCGAGAGAAAAAAACTTCTGAATAATAAATCACATTTATTTAACATTTATTGATGTACTTCGCAAAAAGCAAATGGCTTCCTAAGATGCCTTTAATCCCGAAACATTGTCTGGTAAGAAGAGAATGTAGTCCCCTCCACAGATCGTGCTACCCTTGGTCTGCGTCTCAGACCTGCAATGTGTGGCTAACATGTTGGCAACGTGGCAACAACATGTTTGCAACATGCCCCAACATGTTGGCAAAACATTTTGGCCACGCCAACATGTTGCTGCATATTGCCATCGTGTTGCTGCCAACGTTGCCAATGTGTTACTCACACGTGGCACGTCCGCGGCGCCACAAGGGTAGCACGAGCTGTGGAGGAGACGATATGTTATGAAGCATGGCTGTACAAACAACCGCTTTGCAAGGTTGAAATAATTTTTTGCTTCAAATCATGGTGCCGAAGAGGGGGGGGGGGGAAGGGTCGCACCACACCAGCCTCATTACTTTGAAGCTGTAGTGGACGTTGCAGCTTTTTTGCTCTTTTGGCTTCTTTGAAATCCCCTACAAGAGCACATCAAAATAGAGCCAGTTCTTTATTTCAATTTGCACACCACAATCATGCTTCCTTCCTAAGTTATTTGAAGAAACAGTAACAATGCTCTACCAATGTTCTTTGAAAATGTGATTACAAAAAAGCTAAGCTTCTAAAAAAAGCTTCTAAAAAGCTCACAATTTCTGTAAAAAGCTGCATAATGAAACCAGCATCTTGAAGACCGCTACACAAATTTTCAGAGTTTTTTTTGGAATTTTTGTATCGAATGACAGAATTCAAAATGGCGCTGTGTGCTGAAAGTTCATACCGTGATCCTACAGTAGTAAAAAGAGAGCGGAACTTCTCTTCATACTGCGAAACTACCTAAGTTGAATCTCGCTCTATATGAATTATCTAAAAGTCGGCGAGATACATCAAAGCAGCGAGTTATTAACGGCCAAATAGTGTGCGAATTTTTCTGAGACCCCTGTACAAGATAGAGCTTAGAATTTTGGGAATTAAAAATTTCGAAATAGTAGTATCAATATAATTTTTTAGAGTGGAACTATGCAAATCTGAATCATTACCACAACTTATTCGCTGTCACAAAGCTATAGTTTCAAAAAGTTTTTTTCAAAAGGAACCTTATTCCATTTTCATGGGCCATAAAAGTTATATCACTGAGTGGTTTGATCCTATGGCAAGGTTTTTTTTATAATTTTATCCTTTTCCAATTTCCGTAATTTCGAAATTTATGACTCTACTTGGGAACCTACCGGTACAGCCTTTGCGCATTTGGAAAAGAGTGAATAAGAAAAAAATCGTATTACCGACTATTCTAGATTTCACTACAGCAATTCAGAATTGTGGGGCTCTTATTATTGATGTCAGCCCACGAATACTTTTTTTTATTGAAGCCATGTTTTTCTCCTTCAAATAAAATAAAAATTGAATAGATCGTTTGCATTGTCAAAAGATTGCATTTTTGAGAAATGGTGCGACTTTACTCTTTGGCATTCTTGTTTATCAAACAAATTCGAAACATTGCAATCAATGTATGCCGTCTAACAAACATTAATTAACTGTACTCCACACCTCTTCTCTCAGCCGTGTTTGGGCCAAACACCGCGATCCTGCTGTAATGCAAGTTGATGTACGGCGCCTTTTGTGTGATTTTTTCTCTCTCGGTGACTTTGACCAATTCGCTTGAATGCTACATTGGGTATTCCGTTTTGAAAGGTAATGCTTTTTAAATAACTTTGTGTAATCATTATAGCGTTCTGTTCAAATTTAGGTTCAACAGTGGGAGAAAAGACAAAAATATGTGAGAAGGAGACTGATTTTTGTTATAATGCTACCGCAGAGGTCACTTCGTTCAGCACGATACAAAAGGCCGGTTGCAACACGCTTGTGTGCCAGGTAAAGCTAGAGTGTTTCCTCTAAAGCGATCTAGTACATCGAAATTTTCATCTTGAGTAAAACGTATTTTGTAGTTCAATGAAGACAAATGTTTTAAACGCAATATCACCGGCATACCAATGACGTTTTGTTGTTGCAAAGATAGAGACCTATGTAATCGTGGAAACGAGCCAGTAAGTTCAAAGTTCGGTACTTCAAATTTTTGCCTCGTCGAACTGTTCGACTGTGAGTTCAGAGCTCAGACACCATGCATCTTAGATTCGTTTATAAACGTTGCGTTTATAGACGTTCGTTTACTACGTTCGTTTGACTGACTTGCTTCTTTCGCTAATCTCGACATTGTACAATACCGCTCATAATTCGTCAAAAAAGTCGCCGGAGTGCCGCGCACTCCGCCACACTCCGCCGCAGTACGCCGGAGTTTGGCAGAGTGCGTCGGAGTGCGGCAGAGTGCGCCACACTCCGTCGCAGTGCGCCGGAATGATTGCCAATTTAGCCATATCTCGCTTCAGAATGGACGAATTCTGAATCCGAGGACACCGTTCGATTCCGCTCGGCGAGACGCATCATCTCAAACAGGGTGTCCCAAAAAAATGTTTCGAACGTTTGGTAGTTAATATCTCTCTTCCCAAGAAGTCTTTTGCCTTGCTTCAGGTACCGTTTTGTAAAGCTGGCTTCATCTTAGATTTGCATTATAAAACGAATCACCCATCTCTCTTCATTACTGTAGGATTACGGTAGAAACTTCAAAGAGGGTTTTGAACCATGAAAGGCCATATTTTGCCTCAGAAAGGAAACCAAACAGCCTGAAAACTTTTACACCAGGCTAATTAAAATTGCTGATTATAACTGTAAAGTTCCCAACTTATTATGATGCTTCATTGAAGAGTTAGGCCAGGTAAGAGGTAGCGGCCATTTTTTCAATGTTTCTAAAAAGTGCGATTACACGTTTAGAAAGCTTCGTAATCTTGTGAATAGTTGAGTATTGAACTCAGTGTCCATAAAAACCCTATTACACAAGCACAATTTTTTGAAAGATTTTGAAACCGCAGCTTTTTCCACATTGACACCATATGTTTCAAGTTTCTACCGTGATCCTACGGTAATGAAGAGAGATGAGTGATTCGTTTTATAATGCAAATCTAAGTTGAAGCCAGCTCTACAAAACGGTACCCGAAGCAAGGCGAAAGACTTCTTGGGAAGAAAGATATTACCAATCAAACGTTCGATACATTTTTTTGAGACACCCTGTATGTCAGATATTAAACTCTCCCAAGTTTTCTAAAGTTTCTCAAAGGAAGGGGCGGAGAAAGTGTAAAAAACTTATAACAAAAGTTTAAGGATTTGATAATTAAAATACTAGACACATGCAAAAGAATCTTTAAAAAATTTTTTGTGAGTTTTTCACACTATCCGGTTTCAGGGCTAAGAACTATACCGGTAGTGTGGCTTCCCTGGTGGCTTTCGCCAGTAGTTCGCAAAGTTTCGAAGAGGTGTAACAAAACTTCTGTAACAAACTAATACTTCTGTATAGAAGACGCATCCACGATTCATAACACGCAAAGACCGGACGTCGCTGCGTCCGGCCAAGATAGTTCGTGCATGGAAGAGACAGCAGATGGTAAGAGAAACGAAAGAGCGCTCGATCAGAGAGACGCCAATGCGTGCGCAGTCTTTGCGTGCTTTGAATTGCCTTTCCTCCTGTAGCTGAGCATCCTCTGAAAATTGAGATAATGCTTGATTTCAGGGGTCACACAATCCTTGTTCGTCAAATATGAGTTTTTTCAATGTGCCAACAATTTTACTGTCTATGTGTCATCAGCGACAGATCAATGGTAATACTGTTATCAGCACACTGAATTCGACCAAAATAAGATAGTTCTGAAAACTAATATTGTATTCGGAATCCCCATGCTCACTTACTCCCCTGTGCCAACTCCCAGCCCCGTAGGTGAACTCTGCAAAAAAATTAATAAAAATCGATAAAGCAATCTATAATTCTGCAAACTAACATTGTGTTCGGAATCCCCAGGCTCACTTACTCCCCTGTGTCAACTCCCGGCCCCGTAGGTGAACTCTGCAAAAAATCGATAAAAATCGATAAAATCGATATTGATCGATGACGAAAAGTAACCTACGACACCCGCCGGGGCCCGAAATGTATGTGTGCCAAGTTTGGTCCGGATCGGTTCAGAAATGGATTTTTCTATGCGGAACATACGTACAGACAAACAGACAAACAGTCGTTCAGCTTCATATACAAGATGATGCGTCTCGCCGAGCTGAATCGAACGGTGTCCTCGGATTCAGAATTCGTCCATTCTGAAGCGAGATATGGCTAAATTGACGATCATTCCGGCGCATATATCCGCCCAAATTCAAAAATTCATAACTTGTTGAATTCTCAACGAAACTGCAAGATCTAAATTTTTCTTAAGAGAGAAACTCATGCTCTTTGCAAGTACACCTGAGCTGTTTTTTAATGTTTACAAATTAAGGAGATAGAAGCTCAAAACCAAAATCACTCGAAATTTGAATTTTTCGTGTAGGGTCATAAAAAAATCTGAAACCTGCAACAAAAATCGGAGCAGTCAGTATTGTAGGTTTTTTCACCAGCTCTTTCTAACGGTGCAAAGTTTGCGCTGATTGAGCGCCTCTATCAAAAGTTATGAATTTCGAGCAAGCAATACAAAAGGGCGAATTTGATTTATTTTGGCATTTTTCAGGGAAATCATAACTTTTCATAGAGGCGCTCAATCAGCGCAAACTTTGCACCGTTAGAAAGAGCTGGTGAAAAAACCTACAATCCTGACTGCTCCGATTTTTGGTGCAGATTTCCGATTTTTTATGACCCTACACGAAAAATTCAATTTTTGAGTGATTTTGGTTTTGAGCTTCTATCTCCTTAATTTGTAGACATTAAAGAACAGCTCAGGTGTACCTGCAAAGAGCATGAGTTTCTCTCTTAAGCAAAATTTAGATATTGCAGTTTCGTTGAGAATTCAACAAGTTATGAATTTTTGAATTTGGGCGGAAAGAACTTTTGCACCAACCTAATATTAGGTTGATTCATAATTAATGCACGTTTTGAATTTCAACCGCAATAAGTCATACACTTCTCACTTCTAAATAGGTTGCAAAGTACCACTGGATAGAGCAAAGCAAGCTCTACAAGATGGCACTCATATCTTTGCGCCAAGCTCAATCCACGGAGAGTTCGAACTCAAAATCTAAAGATTTCCAAATGCCCAAAAAATCGAAAAAAATCAGATCTTCGTCCAAATAATTTCTACGGACCTCCCACTCGCTCACATCAATACTATCGATATCTGATATCCATATGTGCGATTGCCGTATTTTTTCATTGACTAGAAACTGAGAAAACGAAAATTTCCCTGATTTTCTCAAAGCAATGCTGAGCCGGTTTTGCATATGTAGTTCTATACTACAAGCCTAGTTAAGCATAACTGTAGATTTTTAGCCCATTCCAAGTGGTAGTTTTCGAAAAATAACGAGTTCGGATTTTTTCGTTTCAATTTCAGTACTAAAATCGACATTTTTCGAAAACTACCACTTGGAATGGGCTAAAAATCTACAGTTATGCTTAACTAGGCTTGTAGTATAGAACTACATATGCAAAACCGGCTCAGCATTGCTTTGAGAAAATCAGGGAAATTTTCGTTTTCTCAGTTTCTAGTCAATGAAAAAATACGGCAATCGCACATATGGATATCAGATATCGATAGTATTGATGTGAGCGAGTGGGAGGTCCGTAGAAATTATTTGGACGAAGATCTGATTTTTTTTCGATTTTTTGAGCATTTGGAAATCTTTAGATTTTGAGTTCGAACTCTCCGTGGATCGAGCATGGCGCAAAGACATGAGTGCCATCTTGTAGAGCTTGCTTTGCTCTATCGAACAGTACTCCTTACCCTTTGTTGGGTTTGGTCTGGTTGCTTTGTTAAAGCAAGCAAATAAAAACGCTCATTATTTTTGCACCAACCTAATATATACAGGGTGTCCCAAAATAATGTGCACACTGTTTGATTTTGAATAACTCTCTTACTATGAGGTCTTTCGAGAAGCGGTAAGCGCCATTTTATAGATCTGGCTTCAACTTAGATTTGCAGTATAGAGCGAATCACCGAACGCTCTTCATTACTGTAGGATTACGGTAGAAATTTGAAAGAGGGTTTTGGGCCATGAAAGGTCATACTTTGCCTCAAAAAGGAATCAAAACAGCCTGAAAACTTTTACACTAGGCCAATTAGAGTTGCTGATTCTATCTGTAAAGTTTCCAACTTATTATGATGCTTCACTGAAGAGTTATGCGAGGTAAGCAGTAGCGGCCATTTTCTCACTGTTCCTAAAAAGTGCGATTACACCGTTTAGAAAGCTTCGCAACCTTGAGAATAGTTGAGTATTGAACTCAGCGTCCCTAAAAACCCTATTACACAAGTTTTCACACTTTTAAAAAAATTTTCAAAACGGCACCTTTTTCCATAGTGACACCATATGTTTCAAGTTTCTACCGTAATCCTACAATAATGAAGAGCGTTCGGTGATTCGCTCTACACTGTAAATCTAAGTTGAAGCCAGCTCTACAAAATGGCGCTTACCGCTTCTCGAAAGACCTCATAATTAGAGAGTTATTCAAAATCAAACAGTGTGCACATTATTTTGGGACACCCTGTATATATATATATATATACATACATATATATATATTAGGTTGTCCCGAAAGTTTTGTCGGTTTTTTCCATCGCTCACTAAAACTCACAGAACACCATTCCATGAACGTTCTAGGTACCATTTGGTTTAGATTTTCATCCTCTTTCTTACAGCTATATTTGTTCTCTGACTCACCCTGTCTTTGCAATGTTACCGCCATGGCTTTTTGAGCAGCTCAACAGTAACGCCAAACCTTTATGAATTTTTAAAATTTCTCTCCTGACACTTCTAAGGAACGCTGGTGACTGTTATGTAGAGCAAAGCTTTGGCTACAATGTACCCATTTTAGATTACGTGGGTTACGTTTACCAAACCCGTTATAATTATTTATTTATTGAAAACCTTGGCTTTTTGACTACGTTTGCCACGTAAAAGTACCGAAAATTCCAAAAAGCTGCTTTTTCAAAGCGAGTCAAACTGGATAATGTTGCACAATTAGTGTTCAATAAGAATCATGTTGCAATTTGCAGAAACTTCAGAAGTTTTTATGTTTTTGCTGCAGTTGCGTGTTTTATGACTTTGCCAAAAATCGAGACCTCCGAAGAAATAACTTTTTGAAGCGAAAATCAGCAGACTAGTGGAA